TAATATTGAACGTTGAAATAACTTAGTAGCTTAAAGTTGAACAATATCAGTGTTAACCATAAAATACCGTAATAAAATCATACAAAATCAACAGAAATGCAGATTTCAAACTATTGAGGAGGAGGCAAACTGAAGGAGTTCCTCATCACATTCAAATGCAGACATATGTTGTTTCTGCAACATCACTCACGCCTCCACGCCTCGCCCAATTTTGTAATCTTTCAAGAAGAAGTAATTCTTGGAAGGACCATTTGCTAGACACACTTTTTCAGGTTTTCCCCATCCAAAATCTACATTGTATAATGACGTGTTTAAAATAACAAATTTCTTTCTTCCATAAACTCCACGAATTTCATTTTTATTATAAATTTTTAACAAATGTTATAACATGCTTAAAATCATAAATTTCAAGGGAGTAAATATATAACTCAGATAATTGGCAATAGGATTAAATTCATAATATTGAACGTTGAAATAACTTAGTAGCTTAAAGTTGAACAATATCAGTGTTAACCATAAAATACCGTAGTAAAATCATACAAAATCAACATAAATGCAGATTTCAAACTCCTGAGGAGGAGGCAAACTGAAGGAGTTCCTCACCACATTCAAATGTAGACATATGTTGTTTCTGCAACATTACTCGCACCTCCATGCCTCGCCCAGTTTTGTAATCTTTCAAGAAGAAGTAATTCTTGGAAGGACCATTTGCTAGACACACTCTTTTAGGTTTTCCTTATCCAAAATCTACATTGTATAATGACGTATTTAAAATTATAAATTTCTTTCTTCCTTAAACTCCACGAATTTCATTTTTGTTGTGAATTTTTAACAAATGTTATAACCTGCTTAAAATCATAAATTTCAAGGGAGTAAATATATAACTCAGATAATTGGCAATAGGATTACATTCTTAATATTGAACGTTGAAATAACTTAGTAGCTTAAAGTTGAACAATATCAGTGTTAACCATAAAATACCGTAATAAAATCATACAAAATCAACAGAAATGCAGATTTCAAACTCCTGAGGAGGAGGCAAACTGAAGGAGTTCCTCATCACATTCAAATGCAGACATATGTTGTTTCTGCAACATCACTCGCGCCTCCACGCCTCGCCCAATTTTGTAATCTTTCAAGAAGAAGTAATTCTTGGAAGGACCATTTGCTAGACACACTCTTTCAGGTTTTCCCCATCCAAAATCTACATTGTATAATGACGTGTTTAAAATTATAAATTTCTTTCTTTCTTAAACTCCACAAATTTCATTTTTGTTATGAATTTTTAACAAATGTTATAACATGCTTAAAATCATAAATTTCAAGGGAGTAAATATATAACTCAGATAATTGGCAATAGGATTAAATTCTTAATATTGAACATTGAAATAACTTAGTAGCTTAAAGTTGAACAATATCAGTGTTAACCATAAAATACCGTAGTAAAATTATACAAAATCAACAGAAATGCAGATTTCAAACTCCTGAGGAGGAGGCAAATTGAAGGAGTTCCTCATCACATTCAAATGTAGACATATGTTATTTCTACAACATCACTCGCGCATCCACGCCTCGCCCAGTTTTGTAATCTTTCAAAAAGAAGTAATTCTTGTACCTCAACTTCCTTCCTCGGATTATGAACCATTCTTGGCAACTCAATATCTTGCGTAGCTAAGGGTGTATTCTGGGCCAGTCCCGGGCCTATACGGGCTGGTCCTAAGTGGGTCCGGGCTTCGTGGGCCGATTTTAAATGGTCCCGGGCTTCGTGAGCTTTTTGTTAGAACCGGACCGGGACCACGAACTAATAGTCCCGGGCTAAGTGGGACAGTATGGAGCCTATGTGGGCTTAAGTGTGCCCAACTTTCAAATTTGTTATTTTTTTAAAAAATGTGTTAAGGCAATTCCTTGTAAAAACTATATTATAGAATTGTGAGTTCAAATTTAAAACATAAAATATTGTAAAGAGATATTCAAAGGAATGCGTTATAATATTTTTTATTATGACAATAATAAAACGTGGCAATATCTTTTTTTAGTCTTCCTTCCCCCAATGGAATAAGTACAACAAGATGTTAATACCACCATTGAGAAGAAAAAAGAACTAATCAAGATGTGCCAAAATACAAGTCACATATTAATTTTGCATGGTATCTCTTATAAATTTCATAAATCTTTCAAGGTTCGGAGGAACTTCCGTTGGTGGTGGCGGAAAAGAGGTTTGTTCATCACCGCTTCCGGGTGAAGCTGCATCCTCCGCAAGTTCAGCTAGCTTTTCTTCGTAAGCTTCGTCTACCTCTGGTTGTGATTCAGCAAGTCTAAAATTTCTTCATTCTAAACAGATCCAATCTCTGAAAAGTACTGATTTTTTCAAGCTCTCCCTCATAGACACTCTACAATCACCAAGTGAAGTCTTGCTTGACTGAAAGCGCTCTTCGATGCCACTGTTGAAGCTTGAATGGTTAAAATATCTCGGGCCATCCTTGAAAGAATCGGAAAGTGTTTTTCTTTGTCCTTCCACCATTCCAAAATATTAAAGGAGCCGTCGAGATTCACTTCCTCAATTCCCTGTGACAAATAAACTTCAAGCTCATTTAGCTGTGAACAATCACTAGTACTAGAACCTTGAGCAAATAATTTGTCATAGAATCAATAATTTGTTCATAAATTTCCCCACCCTCTGATAAATAAGCAAACAAATTTGCAAGTTCTGCAAGATAAACTAAACAGTTAGAAATAGTAGGATAATATTGCCCAGAAAATTCATTTGTAGCAATATGAATTTTTTCTAAAAATTCTAAAACCATTTTAACATTAGCTCAATCCGCATTTGTAAGGTGTTCATCATCATCACTTACATAAGCATTAAACATTGAGTTTATGAGGTCTCTATATTCATATGCAACAACTAAACTTTCTTACATGTAATTCCATCTAGTTGGACAAGGTATAGGAAACTTTCTTTCTCTTAGGCCAAATTCATCGAATCTTTTAAAATACTCTCTAAGTCTACTTCTACGGTTTGAATAAAAAAACCCAGTAAAGATCCATTTTAACCTTTTCAATTTCAACATTTAAAATTCTCATACCATCACCCACAATTAAATGGTAAATATGAAAAATACATCTAACATGAAAAATGTTACTAAATGCAGGATTTAGTATAGTGGTAAGCAAGGCTACAACATTAGTGTTACTAGTAGGATTATCCATTGAAATTGGCATTATTTTATCACTAATGCAAAAATATCTATAAATATTCGTAACCGTGCTAGAAATAAACTGCCCTGTGTGACGTGAATTAATTCTTCTATAAGTGATAATGCGCTTTTTGCATTATCCAATACTCATCAATCCAATGACTGATAACAGTAAGATAATCACAGTCATTACCGCTTCTACCAATATCAGTAGTAATAGCAACACGATAATTAATATGAGTAAATAAATAGCGCAAATATTGTTCATATTCATGTTTATATTTATAAATATCGCTCTTTACGATTGTGCGAGACCATCTTTTATAAGTAGGATTAAAAACTCTTCTAATATAATGCACAAAGTGAAGGTTAGAAGGAAAATTGTAGGGTAAGCACATAACAGTAACCATTTTTGCCAATTCTTCCGTATCTTTTTGTCGATCATAATATAAAATACCACCAGTAATAGTATTAATTCCCGATTGAAATTGATTTGACCCGGTATTAGGATCAGGCTGACTAGGTACACTTAACCCCTCGACCGAAACTTTCACATGAAGATATTTGGCTTTATCTTGAGGGTGTATCAATATGTGTCTCCTCAAAGTTCTCCCCCCCTCCCCCCACCCCCACCCCGAGTAACATTGTTAAAAGCTAACTTTTTGCCACAAGTTTTACACTTAGCTTTATTTTTTTCTCTTATTTGAATAAAACATTGCCAAACAAGAGATGTTTTGGCCCGTTTAGAAGGTTGACTAGAAAAAGTAGGGGTAGTAACGGGGGGTCAGACGGGGCATCATTTGAATTAGTTGGGTTAACTTCAGCAACATGACTAGTGGGTGTATCGTCATCCTATTGCATTTCATCCAAATCTATTTCATGCTCATTATCTTCATCAATAGTTGGATTACCATAAAGAGCATTCATATATTCATCATCAAGCGTTCAGCACCACCAACATTATGCATATATTGATTCTCAGTAAATTGTAATAAAGTATTATCACTATCAAGAATAGGAGTAAGTGGGGACGGGTATGGGGTTTGGGTAGGGGAACCCGGGGAATTGGAGGAGGAATAGATTGGCCACTAGATTCACCACTCTTGGATTTTTCCTTATTTTTACTAAATATTTTTTTAACGAAAAATACATCTTAATTAATCAAACAATAAAAAAGTAAATAAAACAAAACAAAACTATAATATTAAAACTTAAGAGTTGGAAGGTCGTTTACAGAATTGATGAACAACTTGTTAAAAATTAATTATCGTTGAATACTTCAATTCACTAACTTCACAATTTTTCACACAAATTGCAACAATAAAGTAACCAATTATAGAAGAAAATTAGAGAGAGATTGATGATTTTGTGAGAAAAATAAAAGAATGAGGAGGTATTTATAGTTGAAAATAGGGGAAAAGTGTAAATATAAAAAGTTTGGGATTAAAACAAAGTTAGGGGAGTTAAATGGATATTTTAGAAAGCTCAAGCGGCTATTTTTGTAGGCCAACGGCCATTTTTAAATGTTGCAACGGCTAAAAAAATTTGGAATTTTTATTTTTAAAATAGCCGTTGGGCCCATTTGAACCCGTTTAGGACAAGTTGAACCGGCCAGTTTAGCAACAGGTCACAGGCTCAAACGGTCCCGGTCTCGTGGGCCCCTACCACAAGACCGGCCCACTAGTACGCCCACATCACCCCGTCACGATCTTAAATGGGCTAGGACCGTTTAGGCCCAGAGCCCACATGGGCCACGATCCCGGGCCGATCCCGGTCCTGGACCGACCCACTTGCCACCCTTACACGTAGCTGCTGCGGAGAACATGGATAATAGATTTCCAATTGCACTTTGTGGTAGACGAGGTTTGATCATCATACATACATTTAAGTAGTGAACCAACTTAGATGGTTGTATATTTCCAGAACTTGATATTGCAGCTGCCTTTGTTGCACATTTGTAAAGAAGTGCACTAACAACTTCAGCCCGTGTTGGGTTCTCTACTCCTGATTCAACTGCTATCTTCAATCCCAAATAATGCCACTCTTTTTTTGCAAGATAGTACCTTTAACAAATACAATCAACATCGTCATATAACAATCATTCATTACAAAAGCCAGGTTTCTTTTGGAACCAATTTCCATGTTATGTTATAATATATGTTCTTTATACACTTTGCTATAACAACCAAAAAAATCTGGAACAAACGAGGTTTGACTGTACTTTAATAGTCGAGACTACTCCTTTTGTTTGATACTTACCAAAATTTGGAAGTAAATAGATTTGAACTTCTGACACCTTCTTAAATTTGTAACAATAACTTAAGCTTCTAATTTTGTAACGACTCGGCCGGTCGTTTTGAGTACTTTAGTCTCGATCTCTTAATTTATGCTTCCTCTATGTTACATTATAGTTATGTGACTTGCCGAGGTTGTTGGTTTTGATTTCGGGTGAGTTTCGGAATGAAATGGGACATATAGTCCCTAAGTTGGAAGTTCAACTCGTAGGAGTTGACCGTAGTTTGACATGTATGAAGACGACTCCAGAATAGAGTTTTGATGGTTCTGATAGCTTTGTATGGTGATTTTGGTCTTAGGAATGTGTCTGAATGTTGATTTGGAGGTCTGTAGATCGTTTCAGTGTGATTTGGCAAAAGTTAGAAATTGGAGAAATTTGAAAAGTTTGACCGGGAGTGGACTTTTTTGACATCGGGGTCAGATCCCGATTATAAAATATGGAATAGGTCTGTAATATCAATTATGACTTGTGTGCAAAATTTGAGGTCAATCGGAGTTGATTTAGTATGAATCAGCATTAGTTTTGGAATTCGGAAGTTCATAAGTTTCTTAGGTTTGAATCGATGCGCGATTCGTGATCCTAGTGTTGTTTAATGTGATTTGACGCTTCTAGCATGTTCGTATAATGTTTTAGGACTTGTTGGTATACTAGGTTGAGGTCTTAGGGGCCTCGGGTGTTTATTTCATATTTCAGAATTTGGACTTAGAGAGCTCGGTTTGAGGCGAAATTTTGAGGGATTTTCAGAGGAATTTTTGGGGTAAGAGTTCTTAATTCGATTATGATTAAATTACACTAATCTATCGTTGATTTTATCATGTAATTAATGATTTGATTTGGAAAATTGGGAAAAGGTGGTAAAACTTCTTAGACTAAGCTTTTGGGTTTTGAAAGGCAAAATGAGGCCGGATTTGAATAATTCTTGTACAGTTGGACTCAAAATCGAATGTGAGTTCGAATTTTATAATTTATGGTCGGGTTCCGAGACGCGAGCTCGGGTTGACTTTTTGAGTTAATTTTTTAATTCTTTGCTTAGATCATAATTTTATTATTTAAATTAGTTTCATATAGTTACGTTTATAGTATGAAATTATTTTGGCTAGATTCGAGCCGTTCGGAGTTTGAAAATCGAGAGAAAGGCCTTCTAGTCGATTGATTTAGCATGGTTTGAGGTAAGTAACTTGTCTAACCTTGT